TGTGTCCTCCGAGCACTTGGTGCCCAGGACACACTGAGTGTCACAGGAGAGAGGTAAACGGCCGTGCAGTTTAGCTCCGATTCACGGATGAGGACACAGGCGCAGAGGCATAAAGGACTTGCCCGGAGCACACAGCAAAGGGCCGGAGGGAACGTGTTTAGGCCTGGCTGGTCACACACGCTTTCTGTCCCACCTTCTTTTCCTTGTTTACAACCCTGTACAAATGGATTTGACCTTTTTTTCCATTAGCACCTCCCCCTACAGAGCCTTTTCGACATTTTTTTCCCGAATCACTTCACCCCACGAAATTTTAATATCTATTAAATAGATATGATTACACCTATTTATGTAGTGTATCTATATCTATACATATATTTATATTCTATACATCAAAAGAGCAACATTCTCTAATCCTCTTATACCACCCCCAAGAACCAATTTTTGCCCCCACTGAGGATGGACGGATCTAGACAAGGGGCCCCTCCTTGGCCCTGCTGAGATACGGGCCGGTCACTCTGTGGGGGGCTGTCCTGGACACTGTGGGGTGCTGAGCCGCATCCCTGGCCCCCGCTCACTCGATGCCAGGAGCACCCCATTGTGACAAGCACAGCCCTGGGGGCCAGAATCACCCCAGTTCAGAACCTCTAGGCTAGGCAGACAGCTTCTGATACCACCTTTGGGAACCCGACTCTCTGAGCTGGGCCTCAGTTTACCAACTCCATCGATGGCGCGGATTGAATTGGACGGCACCAGGAAGCTCTGAGCACGGTGAGAACTTGGCACTGGAAGCTGCCCGCTTGGAGGCTGGGGCTGGGGCAGGAGCCAGCCTCTAGCGTTATCTGCTGCGGGTGCATCTGTGGAGACGGGAGGACGATGCATTTCAGGGCTGGGTGTCTAAGTACGTGGAGGAGGAGGAGCTCGCTGTGCCTCTCCTCCCCCGATTGTCCAGGGAACATCCAGGGCAGCTCCGCCCAGCAGAGCCGGCAGTGACGCCGGCGTGTTCAGCACGGTCCCAGCTGGTATGTGTGGCTGTGGAGGATTGAAAGGCAACCAGTGCAACTGGTGTCCTGAAAATTTCATTTCAGTTCATTTCATTTAAATGCAAAGTCGCATGTGGCTAGTGGCTCACCTCCTAGACAGCTCTCGAAGCTGACCCAGATGACAGGCAAGCGGTCAGCAGGTGGGGGAGAACTGTTCTGAGGTTTCAGAGATGATTAGAAAGAAGATGGCATCATAAAAAGGAAGGAGATTCTGACACAGGCTACAACGTGAATGGGACTGAGAGCATTACGCTCAGTGAGATAAACCAGGCACGGAAGGACAGATACTGCGTGATTCCACGCATACGGGGTCTCTAGGGGAGTCGAAGTCATCAACACAGAAGGTAGATGGTAAGAGCCAGGGGCTGGGGGCGGGGTGGGGGGGTGGTTAGTGTTTAATGGAGACAGAGCATCCGTTTGGGAAAATGAGAAAGTTCTGGAGACGGATGGCGGGGACGGTTATACAACATTGTGGATGTAGGTAATGAGCTGTACACTGAGAAATGGTGAAAGTTTATGCTATGCTCTTAACTGCAATCTGAAAGTTAAATGTAAAAATATTTTAATGAGATAGCAAATAAGTACATCATCATATTATTAAGAAATTACACGTATTTAAATTAAAAAATATTTCCCAGGACGATGGAGAAGGAAGAGATCTTCTTCAACCCAACAAAGGGATCTGCAGAAACCCACAGCTAACGTCAGGCTTAGTGGTGAGGGCGTGAGCGAGTTCCTGACGCTCAGGAGCGAGGCGGACTGCTGCCCGCTGCTCTTTAACATTGCTCTGGAGATCCTAGCCAGTGCAATAAGGCACGAAAAGGAAATCAGAGGCCTACAGATTGGAAAGGAAGAAATAAAACTGTTTCTATTTTATTTGCAAAGGACATCATGGTCTACATAGAAAATCCCAAGGAATTAAAAAAAATAAAGCTTTTAGAACTAAGAAGTAGGTTCAGCAAGGCTGCAAAATACAGGATGCACACAAAAAATCCAATCGCACCTCTAAATGCTAGCAGTGAACAATTAGAAACAAAAATTAAAAACACGGTATCGTTTATAATCTGTCCCCAAACTTACCATGTATTGATTGGCAATTGGATGGCAACTGTTTTACACTTCATATTAGCTAACTGGGTGACTCACCAAACCCGGGGAGGTGGGGTTATTATTTTGCCCATTTTACAGATGAGGAAACCAAGGCTCAAAGAGGTGGTGTGGCTGGCCTGCGGTCCCAGAGCGGATGAACAATGAGACAAGGCTCCAGCTAGAGCCAGCCATAGCCTAGTGCAGTCGCTTGTAATGGATACAGAGCCACCAAGGCACAAATAACAAAGCTGGTAATAATAGTAATGAGGCTCCTCCTCCGTTTGATGCAGCACTTACTGCACACCAGCCTTTGTTTCGGGCACTTCATTGTAGCATCATCACCTTTTCCCCGATAAACAGCCTTCAGGGGAGGTGCCGGGGTTGTGCCCATTTCACAGATGAAGAGAGTAAGGCTCAGAGAGAGAGGCAGCATTGCTTCTGAGGCCCACAGCCTGGTCCGCCTGGTTCCAAAGCCACAAGCACAGAGGCGGTGCTCAGGAAACACGCCCGTTCCGGAGCGTCAGCCAGGCACTGCTGCCTGCTGAGTCCCTGTGGGCACCAGTTCTGGAAGAGGGTCCCGTGCCCGAGGCCTAGAGCCCGGCGGATGAGTGCCCGGGCTGGGCACTTCCCAATGGAGTGGCCACCGTGCCCAGCCGTGGGGCCATCCAAGCGGGACTGGCCAGCTCCGAGGGGCTGCTGGCTGCCCAACCTGGAAGCACACTCCCCTCGGCCGCTGCCCAGCCATGCCCAGCCCAGTCGGCCACGGCTGGGGCTGCAAAGCCAAGTCAAGAAGGAGCTGCCCCCATCCACCCACTCCAGGATGGGAAACTGAGGCACGGGGCCCGCACAGGCCCCTCCTGTGCGGTTTGTGGCGCCCTCCATCTTGGCAGCCAGTAGGTGTACCACACACAACGTGTGCAAAGCCGCTAGCACAGTGCCAGGCGAACAGCAGGAGCGCGTGACTGTTTTAGGAAGTATCCGCGTTATTATTATCTCCATGACAACACCGAGGGAACAGAGGCCCCGAGAGGGGAAGTGACCTCGCCACGACCACACCTCCTCGGAGGCTCCCAGACGGATGGGAACTCGGCGGCTGATCCCAGAAGCCAGATGGCGCACGCGCAGTGTTGGATGTCTGGCCACCTGCCCAGACGAAGGAAGAAACACAGTTGACCCTTGAACAACATGGGCTTGAAGAGCATGGATCCACGTCTACGTGGAATTTTTTTCAGTAAATACTGTAAATGTGTTTTCTGTTCCTTATGCTTTTTGAACAACCTTTTCTCTAGCTTACTTTATCGTAACAATGCAGTCTATCCTACATATAACAGACAAAGTATGTGTCAGACTGTGTATGTTATCAGTAGGGTTTCTGGTCAACAGTAAGCTATTAATTGAGTTTTGGGGGGAGTCCAATGTTACAAGGATTTTTAACAACGCCCCTGACCCCCACATTGCTCCAGGCTCAACTGTGACCCTCATCACAGAGCACAAGTGCTGTGGGGTGGGGACCTTTTCATCATTTTAACCCTGTTTTCCTTGCCTATAAAATGGGTACAGTAACAATGCCAGCTTTGTGGCTATCTTAAGGATTTGAGGGAGCATATAAAATGGGAACAGCAATATCTGCAGTCATCTTAGGGATTTTAAAAATAATCTATAATAATAAAAGGGTAATATGCTAATTAGGCCAGACGTCCTTCCGGATGTCCTTCCTGACAAAGCTGGGGCCGGAGGGAAGCCAACCGGGTCCCGGGTGCCTGTGGGCGCCCGAGGGAAGCCAGCCCAGGTCCTGGGTGCCAGAGGAAAGCCGGTGCCGGCAGCCGGGGGAAGGAAGGCCTACCCTTGCACGAATTTTCGTGCATCGGGCCTCTAGTGATAATAATAATGAGGACATTACCATGTATGCCCAAGCACTTCATATGTATTATCCCCTTGTCACCTCCTGGCAACCCAGTCAGGCTGGGCGATGCTCACACCCATTTGAAAGAGGAGAAGTCTGCAGCTCAGAGAAGTAGGTGACTGGCCTACGGTCACACAGCGATTGCTCTCAGCTCTGGGTGTGGCAGGGGCAGCGGGTATGGGGGGCCGAGTCTCTCTCTCTGGCATTTGATTGTGATTCCCAGCACCTTTCTGTTCGACCTGAAAGACAAATGGGTGGGTCCTGGGTTCTGTGCAGCTGGGCTGGGCCCTGGGCCCCTCTCAGCCTGGGTCCTGGGTGGGTGTGGGGCTGCAGAGGGAGCTGGCGTGATCACCCTTCATCCAGGCCACCGGAGCCGATAACGCTGAGCTCAGCGTCTGCCCGCTGCACCCGTCCGCCAAGGAGCCTGACTATTTTTAGATAAGATGGATGGGCGAGTGCTGGGGCGGGAGGTAGCCCGCAAGCCAGGCAGCGGGTGGGGGCATTGCCGCTGCAGAGGGATGCCCCTCGGCCCCCTCTCTGGAGACGCTGAGTAGCACCCCGAGACCAAGGGCTGAGCCCTTAGGACTTGAAGGGCAGAGGCCGAGAGGAGTGGGCCCCAGGGTTCAAGAACTCATCTTTCTGGCCTCAGTTTCCCCATCTGTAAGCTCCTAGGACCGAGGCAAGATTAAATGAGCTCCCCTGTTTCACAAACGAGGAGACTGAGGCTCAGGGGAAGAGCTGTAACCCCCCACTGCGTCGGCCCCTGCACATGGCTTCTCGCCCTGTGAGGCCAATTCCAGCACCTGGCTGCACCGAGAGCCCCGGCACCGGTGCTGATGCCTGCAGGTGCCCGGCCAGACACCCATGACCCCCTGGGGCAGCAGCCAAGGGAGGGGCCAAGCAAAGACCCCGGGGCCTCAAACGTTCAGGGCCCGGCCTGTATCACCAACTCCTTCCTCTCCTGGCAGATGCGGAGCAGAGCGGCAGTCCCCGGGCCGGGATAGGCTCTGACCAGGAGGACAGCAAGCCCATCACGCTGGGTGAGTCTGGGGCAGGCGAGGGGTGGTGGGCGTGGCCCGTCCTCATATTTAACATGGGGATCATTTTCCGAGCACCCCCCTCGCGTGCTCTGGTGGCTCCGTGTGTGTGCCTGACGCACGCGAATGGTTCGTTCCTCACAGCTACGCAATGGGGCAGCTGCTGGGTGGTTCCATTTTGCAAGTAAGGAAACTGAGGCTCAGAGAGGTTAAGGCACTCACTCAGCCCCGGAGAGAGGCCCTAGGGCACCCGCATTCCCAGGGGATATTTAACAATAAATAGGAGAGTCAGTTCTATGTTGGGAGGTGGAAAGTGGGAGAATTTGCCTGAAGCAGGGCTGGGAGCAGAGCCCTGAAGAATAGAAGGATTTGGAAGCTGCTTCTGCCCTGCCCTCCCCCTGCCCGCCCCCAATTCCAAATCCCACAGTCTGTTCTCTCCAAAGTGGCCAGAGGGCGCCTGTGAGCACCTGAGTTAGGTCCCACCCTCCTCTGCCCAAAGCCCTCCAGGGCTCCCACTTTGGGTGGAGGGTGAGCCCAAGGCCTTCCCACAAGGCCCCCACCCCACCCCACCCGACCCCTCCCTGCTCTCCCCTCCTCCCTCTCTCCCCCTCGCTCACTCTACTCACTTGCTCTGTTCCAGCTACATGGGGCTCCTCCTCGTTCTCCCAACATGCAAGGCATGATCCCGACTCAGGGCCTTGGCATGTGCTGTGAGCCCTGCCTGGACAGCTATCCGCTCTCCCGCTTTCTCCAGATCTTCCAGGCCTCCGCTCAAATGCACCCCTCAAAGGGCCCTCAGCTCCAGCAGCCTCGGCCACTCTGATCACCACCCTCTGTTTTATTCCCTCCGAGGAAGTTAGTGACTGCATATGTGTTTGCTTCCTCCCCTAATGGGACATCACTCGAGCAGAGGTTTTTGTCTATCTTGATTACTATTGTGTCCTCAGTGCCTAGAATAATACCTGGTACACAGTCAGTGACTCAATAAATATTTGTAGAGAGAAAGGAAGGAGGAAGGCAGGTATGAAGCAGAGAGAAAAAAAGAAACTGGAGAGATGAGAAGGGAGGGAAGGAGGGAGGGAGGGAGGGAAGAAGGAAAGAAGGAAGGGAGGGAGGCCAGTATGTGAGGGCATCCTGTTGGAGGCACCGGCCCAGCCATGCCCGCAGAGGCTGGCTGGTTCAAGGAGGTTCCCAGGCCCCCAGGCCGCTCCTCACGGGCCATCTGTGACCAGAGTCCTCCTTGGCCTCCTGAGACCCCGGAACCTCCTTCTGACTCAGACGTTCAAGGAGGCTGGGCAGCTGCACACTTTGGCCTGGTCCCCTGAGGAGCTCCAGCGTCTGGCGGAGGAAATCACTTCCTTTCCACCCGCCAGGGAGTCCCCTGGAGATGGAGCTGGGCGAGTGCTGGACAAACAGGAAACCCCGGCGCGGGGAGGGCAGGGGGCCTGCCGACACCAGCTGGCCAGTTGGGTGGGCAGGAAACAGCTATGGCCACTTGCCCTGGACACTGGGGGTCCACCGCCCTGTCCTTCCTGGGATGTGGTGACCCTGTGCTTCCCAGCATGAGCCTGGGAAGATGACAGGTGCTCAATGAATGGTGGGCACAGAGCTTGTCATCAGGAAGGCTGGGGCTCCTGGGCTGTCCAGGATGTTGGACCGCAGGAGAACAGCACCGTGGTGAGCTCCCTGCAGCTGGTGCTGTCCCGTGGGGGCCGGAAGAACTGCGCCCAGCACACTCACACACACACACACTCACTCACACACACACACTCACACACACTCACACATACGCACACACACACTCACACATACACACATACACACACACTCACACACGCACACACACACACACTCACACACACACACACACACACTCACACACACACATACACACACACTCACACACACTCACTCACACACACACACACTCACTCACACACACACACTCACACACACACACACACACACTCACACACACACATACACACACACTCACACACACTCACTCACACACACACACACTCACTCACACACACACACTCACACACACACACACACACACTCACACACACACATACACACACACTCACACACACACACTCACACATACACATACATACACACACACACACACACTCACACACACACTCACACACACTCACACATACACATACATACACACACACACACACACTCACACATACTCTCTCTCTCACACACACACACACACACACACACACACACACGGCCTAGAGATTCCTGCCTGCCCACCCCACACCCTTTCTGACCACTCTCCCAGAAGCAGGGCTGGGAGCAGAGCCCTGAAGAATGGAAAGGATTCGAAAGCTCCTTTCACTCCAGCCCTGTTGGCCTCCACCTTGCCAAGTGCATTCCAACCCCAGGGCCTTTGCACGGGCCATTCTTGCCACCAGGAACTTGGTGGCCCCCAGGGAGGTGGTGAAACATCACATCTATGATCGTCCCAACCGGAGTGGCCAACACGTGCAGGGCAGTCACCCTGTGCCACGCACTGCTGTTCTTGGCATCCGCATTTGAACGCACGTAGTCCCGTTTTCCACCGGCAGGTACCCCAGGGTCTCGGTAAAATGCTGCCCTCTCCGTGCGGCTTTCTCTGAGCCTGTGAGTCAGATAGGTCCCCTTCCCCGGAGCTTCCTCACCCTGCCCGCCCTGCCCCTGCCCGACATACCTCACGCTGGACTTAGTGATGTTAACATTTTTTCTATTGTGATAAACTACACCGAAGATAAATGTTATCATTTTAACCTGATTACAATGTAAAATTCAGGGGCATTAAGTACATTCACAATGTTGTGCCACCATCACCACTCTCTAGTTCCAGAACATTCCATCACCTCAAAAGACACTTCATTCCCCCTTAACAGTCACTCCCCACCCCACCCCCAGTCCCTGGCAACCACGAACTCACTCTGTCCCTGTGGATTTGCCTGCTCTGGACATTTTACACAAATCCAGTCACTGCTTATGTGGCCTTTTGTGTCTGGCTTCTCGCACTGAGCATCATGTTTTCAACGTTCATCCACATGGTAGCGAGTGTCGGTGCTTCAACCTTTTTATAGCTGAAAAACATCCTGTTGTCTGGATGGGCCACGGTTGTGTTTATCCATCCATCCATCAGTGGGCACTGAGTTGCTCCCAGTTTGGGCGGTCATGCGTCGTGCTGCTGTGAACATCTGTGTGCAAACCAGCCCAGCCCAGAGAGCAGAGTTCTCTTCCTCTGACCTTAGGTGGGAGTGGTTCTGGGGACGCAGGATTTTCACTTGTGCCTGTGGACCCTCTATTCAGCCTGTGGTCTGAGCCTTTTTGCCAGGCTCTGGCTAGGGACAGGGCGGGGCCTGGGCAGAGAAATCCCTGCCTTTGTGAAGCCCCCAGTCTGGAGGGAGAGAGAGACTGAAGGACAGCATTGCCTGGGGTGATGATTGATACAAAGAAAGCAAGCCTGCCCCTCCTGGGTAGTTTGGTCCACAGCTCTCAACCACCCAGACAACAGGGTATATGGTCCCCATTTTCAAGATTAGGGAGCATAGAGGGGAAGGGATTTGCCCAAGATCACCACCGAGGGGGTGACTGAGCCGAGATTTGAACCGGGGTCCGGCCTCTGCTTGCAACCTGCTGCAGCTTGGGGAGCCCCGAATGAAGAGGAGGCTGGTTATGGGGCCCACCTGGAGAAGGGGAAACTGGGTGCAGATATTAAGACAACAATGTCCCCTCCAGCTGTGTAAGGGCAGAGGGACTCTCCACCTGGCTGGAGTGGCCTAGTTGGTAGCCCCACCACTGTAGGGCTGCAGGAGGAGAGGGGGTGACTACCCAGGCTGGGTCCAGCCCCGAGTCTGGGCAGCGCTGGGGTGTTGAGGAGGGACACAGACACACTGACACCCATTCCCTCCCTTTTCCAGACACAACCGACTTCCAGGAGAGCTTTGTCACCTCTGGTGTGTTCAGTGTCACCGAGCTCATCCAAGTGTCCCGGAGTGAGTATCCACCCGCCTGGGCTGGGCCCCGGACAGGGGCGGGGCTCACAGAGGGAGGGGCGATGGAGAGTAGAGGGACTTCAGGATGGAGGCTCCAAGAGGGAAAGCATCTCAGGGAGAGGGTAGGGACTCAGGGAAGAGGAAGGACCCCATCACCCCCTCTTCTCTCCCTTGTCCTCTCCAGCTACCTAGTCACAAGCCAAGGTTCCTAGGAAGGGCAGTATCCAGGCCCTTCCCAGAGCCCAAGGTCAGGGTGACATGCTCCTCCCCAGGAAACAGAATCCATATGCTGGGGGGAGGGGCTGAAGAACCTTCTTCCCAGCATCTCTCTTTCCTGGAGTCCCACCCCCCCCCATTTTGCTTCCTGCCCCCTTGCGTTCCCTATGAACTTACTGGGGACTCACCCCACTCTCTCAGACACCCCCATTTGAATTCCACCCCAGGGAGTTTTGCTTAACCCTGACCACCATCTTCCCATCCAGATCAGCCTCTGGGAGTGCTGATCTCCAGCCTCTGGGAGTGCTTGGTCTCCAGCCCTGGCTATGCCTCTGCCTCACAGCACAGCCTTGGCTTCTCTTGATGGCCTTGGGTGGGTTTTTTTTAAGTTTTTTTTTTAAGTCTATTGAACAAAGCCAGTCCTGGCCAAATTAAGAACCAGGCCAGTTTGGGAAGGGGCTCTCCCCACCCCTCCAGGGCAAATTGCAGTCCTGGACATTGCTCCCTCCCTCATTCCCCTCCCTGTCACTCTCTGCAGCACCTGTGGTGACTGGAACGGGACCTAACTTCTCGCTGGGTGAGCTTCAGGGGCACCTGGCATATGACCTGAATCCAGCCAGCACCGGCATGAGAAGAACGCTACCCAGCACTTCCTCCAGTGGGTATGTGCCTGGGTCCCCATCTCTGGGCATTTCATGACCCCTCGCCCACTGTGAGCTGGCCCCAGCTGATTCATTCCTCTCCTTGGAATGCCTGCGCTCATGGTCTACTTGGGAAATGCCTACTCATCCTTCAAAACCCAAGTGCATCCTTCCCCTGACATCCCACTCTGGGCTTGAGTCCTACAGGCCCAGACCTTGAGACTCCATGGCAATGAAGACACCGCTTCCTGCCGACATGTGCTGTGTGACCATGACTGGTCGCATCTATTTGGCCTCTGTGTCCTCCTCTGTAAAATGGGATCACAGTCCTACCGGTTGTTCAGAGGACGACAGCAGGCCAAGTCACCAGCCAGGCCTCAGGGCTTTAGTCACCCTCTGCTAGCTTCCTGCAGTGTGGCCCCAAGTGTCGCATCTAAGCAATAGGCAGGTTGACACAGGTGTTACCATAACTGGCTGAAAGTCTGGGGTTTCTTTGAGATCTCGCGAGAGCACCCTCCTCACCCCGCCCCCCTAAGGACCGGAAGTTACAAAGCCCGTCGCCTCCGCCCGCGTCTCCGTGGTAACCGGCCTGCGCTCTTCTTCCCTTGCCCCTTAGGAGCAAGCGGCACAAATCGGGCTCGATGGAGGAAGACGTAGACACCAGCCCCGGCGGCGATTACTACACCTCGCCCAGCTCTCCCACGAGTAGCAGCCGAAACTGGACGGAGGACATGGAAGGAGGTGGGGCTGGCGGCGGTGTGGAGACGGCCTTCCGGTCGGGGTTACGCGGCGGGGACTACGTATTCCGGCAGGCACTACTTGCTTGCCAGGGAGCGGGAAGCGGGCCTGGATCCGTGAGGCCTCCCGGGAATTGTAGTCACGCGGCTGCGCGCAGCTGGAAGTCAAGTCCGGGCTCAAATTCCCGGAGCTTTTTGGTTCCGCTCAGGCCGGCGGGGGTAGAGGGAGTCTCTCCCACGCCCGACTGTCCTGCTCTCTGCCCTTCAGGGACCAGTCTTTGTGGGGTTCCTGATCTATAGAATTGACTCTAACGATTCTGATCAACAGGGTATTTCCTCTAGGCGTCTGCCATAGACCTCATCTAGGGGGTCCTGAGATGTAGGATCCCTTCTCACTGGGGTCCTCGGTGAAGTCCTGTATTTAAGAGACTCCCACCTCCATGGGGATCTTCCCCGGGTGATTCCAGGTCTCTCTTCTCAGCGCTGTTTTTCAGGGTGGTTTCGTTCCGTTGCTCTTCTGTCTTCACAGGGACCTCTACAGGCTCGCTCTCATGTGGTTCCTATTTTATAGGGTCAGCAGTTCCATAGTCTCTTTTCTGTTGAGCGCTGGCTCCTGGGGATTCTTTGTTTACATAACGTCTCCCCAAGTGCTTTCTCCAAAGAGTTCCCTTTTGGGGGGACTCTATCTCCACCAAGATTCTCCTCTAAAGAATCCCTTTCACCTTAAGGTTTTCTCCAGTGGGCCAGCATCTGTGACTCTCAGGAAACGGTGTGCAAAGTGGCTCACAGGCTGCCTTTGCTCTGGGGCAGGCATCCCTGTTATTTCTCAGGTTCTCAGCAGGGTCTGTGCCCGCCCCCCGCCAATTTTAGAAGCATCGCTCTACCCAGTCTCTTATTCCTTATCAAGAATTCACCCCATGGGATAGCCTAAGGGTTATGAAATGGACTCTTGAATCTACCAGTTCTTAGAGCTTCCTGGTGACCCCGCCTCTCTGAGCCTCAGTTTCCTCATCTGTAAAATTGGGGTGTTAATACCTGCAGTACCCACCTTACAGGTTGTTGTGGGGACTAAGTGAATTGATACAGCTGATATCCCTAGGACAGACCTGGCACTTAATAAGCACCCAATAAACCTCAGGATGTGTTTTCTCTCCCCCTCCCCCCCCCCCCCCCCCCCCCCACCTTCTCCTCTTTCCCTCCTCCCTATCCCTATAGAGCAGCGGTTCTCAACCTGTGGGTCGCGACCCCTTTGGGGGTCGCCTAAGACCATCGGAAAACTCATATATAATTACATATTGCTTTTGTGATTAATCACTATGCTTTAATTATGTTCAATTTGTAACAGTGAAATTGGGGGTCACCACAACATGAGGAACTGTATTAAAGGGTCGTGGCATTAGGAAGGTTGAGAACCACTGCTATAGAGCCTGCTTTCTCATAAAGATCTGTCCATACCTGTAGGATTCTCAAAAAGCAGCATTACAATAAAGAGGGCACGCTCAGGCACCAGAGAGACCTAGGTTCAAATCCCAGCTCTGCCCTGACTTGCTTTGTGGGCTGTGTTACCTGGGGCAGGTAACGTAACTTACCTGATCCTCCGTTTTCTCATCCTCAAAGCAGGAGTGATGAATAACTCTTCTTTCAGAAAGTTGGAAGAAGGAAGTGGAAGGATATGGGTAGAGAAGCTGTAGCACATAAGTGTCCAGGAAGCAGGAGAGTTTATTGTTGCTCATGTCTTAGAATTCCCACCTCTTCGAATCAGTCTCTTAACACATCTGGTTGACTTTTGAGGTCCCAGGTCTCCTCCCCCTCCACGGTGTGGGCTCCCCGAGCAGGTCCCTAACTCTGGGAGGACCTGTCTCTGTATTATCAGGCTTTAACTTAGGGGTCAGAGTGTCTCTATGGTTCTGCCTCTGTGGGTTCCCCGTCTCTATAAAAGACCCTGCATTCAATAAGCTTTAGGTTTGATTATGAAAAACAGAAAACTCAAAGGGATAGTGCCTTTCTCTTGCCAGTAAGTGTCCAGCCATCAGCAGCCCTAGCAAGTGTGATGGGACTTCGGCTCCTGCCTTCTAATCCACTGAATAAGATGTTCATTTCCACCTCATGGTCCGAGACAACTGCTGGACCTTCAGCCCTCATTTCTGCATTCCAGGCAGCAGGAAAGAAGAAGGGTCAAGACTGGGCATGTCCTGTCCCTTTAAGAATAATTCTCAGAAGATGCACTTATCTTCTGCATATCTCTATGCTCCTGGGTTAGTCATGTGGCCATACTCTGCTACAAGGGGCATTGGGAACTGTAGTCTTATTTTGGGCAATTATGTGCTTATCTCAAATTTAAGGGTCCTGTTACTAAGGAAGAAGAGTCAAGCAGATATTGGGAGATGTCTGCCCTGTTATTTACAGATTGGGAACTCAGAAGCACTTGTCATTAACTCTGTGATTGAAGAGGCTGTTTGCATATAAAGTATATACTATTTAGAGCTGAAAGACAGCCTCTGTGATAGAGCCGCAGCAGCCCTGAGAGGTGGTACCATTATAGCCTTAAGTCTGTTGATGAGGAAAAGAGCAAGGTTGGAAAGAACCTAGCTTTCAGTTCAGGAAGCTGAAAACAGAAAAAGTTTTAAAAGGAAGGATATGTTAGAGCTAGTCACTGTGGCTTAGTCCGACCTTCCTGCCCTGAGAAGGAAGTGTCACCAATAGGGAACCGAGGCGAAAACCTAGACCAGCTTCTGGTGTGTGATGGGGAATGAGGGAGCTGGAAGGGAATGTCACAGGGTGTGTGTCTCCCTCTAGCGTTCATTGGTTGCCCCCAGTGATGGCAAACTCACTCCCTCCTGTGGGAGCCTCAGTAGAAACCCCTACTGTACGCCTGTGCCTGCCCTGCAGGTGCTCACAGCTAGTATGGGAGATGGATTCATATGTCTTCCCTCCCCCCCATGATTATCTTCCGTTTTCTCCTCCTCCTGACTTCCTCCAGCTTCCTGTCTAGACAGCCCCCAATTAGCTGCTCATTAAGGGGATTAAGCTGCTTGGAGGACTTTCTCCCTTCTGTTGTGGCTGCAAGGGCAGTGCTCAGCTAACCCCTCACCCCCAGCAGCCATACTCTGTTGCTTGGGAGGGTTAGAGGTCTGGGGAGATCACGCCAGCCCCACCCAGACAAGACCCCTGCAGCCACATCTTTCAGGCCCCAGGAGCCAGCCTCCAGGCCGTTGCCCTTTCCATGCCTGGGCCTGGAGTGCCCTTTCTCCTGGCCACCTCCTCCTGAGGCCTTCCCTGATTACCCATCCCAGTAGGGCAGAAAGAGGGCACCTTCTGCTCAGCTCCCAGGGTGCTTTGTTTTTGCTGCTGCTTTGGCCCTTCCGGGGACATAGGCCCTTCACATACATGGTTGTTATAGAGGTGAAGCAAGCAGCCCGTCCCCGCCCCGTCTCTCTCCTCTGTTCCCTGGGTGGTGGAGTGTGGCCTGTGAAATTACAGAGTTGGATTTGAATCCCGGCTCCACCACTTGTTAACTCTGTGGTCTTGGGCAAGTGAGTGCTCCCATCAGGCCTCAGTCATCACATCTGTGAAATGGGGGTGACTCCTGTAAGCCCTGCATAGGGTAGTTGTGAGGATGATGTGAGAGCAGGCTCAGAGGGTTCTGCCCCAGAGCTCGAAAAGGGTCCTTACCCAGGGCGACTGCCCCCAGAGGACACTGGGCCGTCCAAGGGAGAGAGGCTTCACTGTGTTGTCAATGCTCACTGAATGATGGCTGGGCTCAGCAGAACTAAGCACTCCATTCGCCACACACTCTTGTTGACCGCCCTGTGTTCTGGGGCGGTGGAGACCCAGCAGTCAGCTAGAGTGGACCCCCTCCCCCCCACAGCCTGTGGCTTGCCACTCAACCTGCTTCCCTCATGTCACCTTGAATGACCCACAGTGGAGCTGGCCTTCCAGCGGGGGATGGCCTTGTTGTTCTAGGGATGCTCAGATGGGAGGTATACAGGCCTGCTTATTCCCTGAAGAGCCTGTGCTTCGGCGGGACAGACAGGCGTGTGTATATCCTTAATGGGGGCACGCAAGATGCTCGGATGGGGACCTGTAGGTGTATGTGTTGAGAGGAAGATGGCTGCTCAGATGGCGGTGGTATATTACAGGTTAAATGGAGAGGCGGGGCTCAGATGGAGGACACAGAGCATGTGTTAGCTGATAACAGTGGCTCAAGTGGGGCATTACAGGCCTGTGTGCTGAACAAACGGGTGGGGGGACCTCTGGAGCCTGGCCAGGAGCACCTGCCGGGCTCCCCCTCCCCCATGCCCTGCCCTGGCTCCCGAAGGCCCCATCTCAGGAAGCTCAGGGGGGCGGGTCCACACCAGGCTATTTCCATCCAGGACAGGCTGTTCTAGGAAATCCTCCTAAGTGAGCATCTGACAGTCCTAACCTGGTTCCGCCACAGCCCTGCACCAGCAGAAAGCCTGCCACCCTCCTGCACGCGCGCACACACACGCACACACATACCTACGCACAGCCTGCAGGGCCAGCCTCCTCTCCTGCCCACAGCCTCCATCCCACCGCACCTCCTGTTCCCTGAGAAAGCCCGGGCCCTGGCTCCCAAGGCTTTGCCGACCCACACGCCAGGACTCGCTCCCTCAAACAGTGAGGTGCGTCCTCAGGGCCATCGAGGGCAGCAGGTTTGGCTCGCCGATCCGTTCACCCCAAGCTATGCTGTTGGAGGGGACAGGAAGCTGCCCATGTGGAAACGCCACAAGGGAAATCGTGCAGCAGTGTGCGGGCGGGACAGGGCTGGGGAACGTGTGCAGATGCCCACCCACAGCCGTGGGCAGGAGACCCCAGCAGCAGTGACAGCATGCCTCGGAGGAGGGCAGGGGTTCCCACTGGGGTGACTCTGCCCACAGGGGACACTGGGCCATGGCGAGGGACATACGTGGTTGTCACACGGGGGTGGGAGAGGGCTCCTGGCCTCGCGTGGGTGGGGGCCAGGGATGCTGGCAGCACTGCACAGTGGCCAGCACAGCCCTGATGTCCGCAGTGCTGGGGAGATGTTTCTGGAGTAGGGCACCTTGTGCTGGGTGGCAAGAAAGTCAAAACTCATCAGGGTCTCAATGGGAACATTTCACCCTAAAATAAATTTTAAAAATGATTTCTAAACATGTCCATCTCTAGGCCCCACTTCTTTGAGATCCCAAGTCCAGGGATGGGGCCGGATCTGCATTTTTGGGGGGCATGCCACCATCCTTAGCTCTCACATTTGGAGGCTGGCGGAGGTGGGGTGCAGGGAGGAAGGCAAGGGGCACGCACACTTCTTCAGGGCTAACGTGTGCCTGGCCCTGGTGCGGTCCATCCTCTGTATCATGGTGACAGCGGCTTCTTCCTGAGCCAGTGTTTGCTCTGTGCCAGGTCCCCATGGATTCGACATGTGCCCGTTTTACACCATTCATTCACTCATTCATTCGTTCATTCATTTGCTCACAGAAGGTTGAAGGGGCTGAGCTGTCAGGGTTCCCGAGGGCCAGGGCAGGGGAGGTAGTGAGGCCCCCATCTTCAGAGGGATGACAGTTAGCAAGTAATGCCAGCAGGTGGGTGTGCGCCAGGCCCTTCACACCTTATATCTCACTTCATCCTCGAGGTGACCTTGCAAGGGTTTTCTTCCTTCCCCTGTAAGGATGAGGGGGCACAAGATCCGCGGCTTAGGGGCTTGTCCGGATCCTCTCGGCTCGCCAGGGCCCGGACCCCCGTCTGCTCACCCTGCCGTCTTCTCCGGGGCTTGGGCAGCCCTGGGAGGCCTGTCTCTGGAGTGAGAAAAGGGGCGGGGCCAGTGGGGGTGTCCGGGGCCTGTGGTGGCATCAAGGCCATAAACCCGGGCAGCTCCCTTCTCTACCGTGAGCCTTAGTTCGCTCCATCTATAAAGTCAACCCCCGGCCCCTTGCCCACAGGCTGCTGGGAGAAAGAGGGGCAGGGGCTCCAGTAGGGAGGCTGGGGTCCTGGGAGCCACCCTGCCGGCAGCCCTGTGACCCTCTGGCCCCTCCCCACACAGGCATCTCATCCCCGGTGAAGAAGACAGAGATGGACAAGTCACCCTTCAACAGCCCGTCTCCCCAGGACTCACCGCGCCTCTCCAGCTTCACCCAGCACCACCGGCCTGTCATAGCCGTGCACAGTGGTGAGCACTATGGGCCCCGGTGGGGAGGTGCCCCGCGCACTCTTGTCAGTCCCCGCCAGGCAGGGAGGTCCCACCGGCTGTCTGAGCACGAGTCCTGTCGCTATAGCTCCCTGCTGGGCAAGGAAACCCAGAGGTGCCGTGGTAGAGAGCGCCCAGGCCGGACTGTCTCTTTGGGCCTCAGTTTCCCCTTTTGCATGGGAAAGAGACACAGCCTGTGGTTTGCCCCTTAACCTGTTTCCCTTATGTCACATTTGAATAACCCATACACAGACGATGGTGTGGGGCAGTCACAGAAGGAGGTAGATATACCTGGCGTGTGGCCAGGCACACACAGGCCACACAGGTGATCCGGGGGCCCTCCTGGCTACACAGACAGGAATTTCACACAAATAACAGAGGGAGACAGGCTCCGGCAACCACAGGGTGTCAGCTGAGCCGGGCACACTGCACCAGGCCCTCCCCAATGTCACCTGTCAATTAGGGCTCCCCCGACCGACCGGGCTGTCATAGGACTGAATGAGTTAAATTGTGATAAGCTCCCTAATGCCCCCTGTTGCCCCGTTGCGATGATAATGAATTCCACCATACCCATCCTGTGGCGGCTCTTGGCTAGGACGGCAGAGTTGAGTAGCTGCAACAGAGACCATATAGCCCCAAAAGCCAAAAATATTGACTATCTGGCCAGGAGCAGGAGAGAAAAGGGGAGGGGGAGTGACAGTGAATGGACACAGGGCTTCTTTTCGGGGCGATGCTCTGGAATCAGAGAGTGAATGTAGTAAAACAGACTGAATTGTTTAGAAACGAAAAAAGCAAACAGCACAGATTCAGCCACGAAAAGGAGTGAAGCGCTGAAGCTACGACGTGGATGGACCTTGGAAACGATGCTCAGTGAGAGCACCGGACACTCAAGGCCACACAGTGTGCGATTCCGTTTATGTGAACGTCCAGGACAGGCAGGTCCAGACACAGGAAGTGTTTGCCAGGGGCTGGGGGGCTTCTTTCGGGGATGATGAACATTTTCTAAAAGAGATTGTTGTGTTGGTTGCATACCTCTGTGAGTGTGTAAAAACCATTGAATTAAGTACACTTTTAAAGGCGAATTGTACAGGGGTGGGCAAAAGTCGGTTTCCAGTTGTTCACATGGGAAGACATGCAGGTTATGGTTATTACAACAGCTTTGTTAACGCAAAAGAATGGCACAGTGCACTTAGGTACAACCTTGTAAGTGCTCAAATCGCTGGCTTCATTATGCTCACATTCTTAAAGTCTCTGAAAATCAGTAAACCTGAATTTCAGGGACCCACACAGTGACCCGGGTGGGTTAGCCCCACTGCCTCCTGAAGTGGTTGAATGCAAACGTACTTTTGCCCACCCTTGTATAGTATGCAAATTATATCTCAATCTCAGGAAATATTGACCACCCGGCCCTTTACAGAGAGAGCTAGCTGAGCCCAGGGTCAGGGTGTGGGCTGTGGGGCCAGAGGGCCTGGGCTCCAACCCTGGTCAGCGATCCGCTTGCTGTGTGGCCTGGGGCAGGGGACATAACCTCTGAGAGCAGGGATGGCGCCAGAACCTTCAGGGCTTTCCGTGAAAGTCAGCACGTTTGGGTGTATGAATGACGACAAGGCCTGGCCATCGCAGGCCCTGCTGGGCCGGGCTGCTGTCATTGTTACCAAAGGCACCGAGATACAGGTGCCACGCACAGTGCAGTCCCAGAGAGCAGGACAGACCGGGCAGAGCCCGCAGTAACCGCCCCTTTCCGTCCCCGCAGGGATCGCCCGGAGCCCGCACCCGTCCTCGGCCCTGCACTTCCCCACCACCTCCATCCTGCCCCAGGCGGCCTCCACCTACTTCCCTCACACAGCCATACGCTACCCACCTCACCTCAACCCCCAGGACCCGCTCAAAGATCTCGTCTCACTGGCCTGTGACCCTGCCAGCCAGCAACCTGGACCGGTGAGTTTGGGGGCACAGACCTCCCCTGCCGCACGGGCTCCCGGCGAGGTCTCAGGGGGCCTGCTAACGTGCAGCTTCTGTTGTAAATGGTTTCCCGAATGGTGGATGGCGGAGGGCCACGGTTCTCTGCCGAAGCACTTAGAGCTGGGCCGGTTCAGGATTCGGCTTTTCAGATGTTAGAATTGACAGCATGTATCTTGCGAAGCGCTTTGAAATCAGACATGGTCCTATGGCTGCAGCTCAGGCCTGACTTCCACAAAAGCTCTCGGTGTTCAGAGCTTTGTGGATGTTAGGACCGCTGGCGAGGTGATGGATGGCTAGGTCCTGGTAGTGGGTGAGGAAAGCAGAGCACCGTGAGGCCACCATGTTGTTTAGGGCAAGGCGGCACCTGGCGGAAGGGAAGCGAGGGGATAAAGTGGATTAAGGAGGAGACGGGGGGAAGTGCAGTCCCAGGATGCTGGAGGCCTGCAGGGCCCGTGGTACCCACCAAACCCGTCCCACCATGCCACCCTCGTCCCCCAGCGGGACCGCGAACAGCAGCCCGAGGCGGCGGGGGTGCCGCCACCTTAACCACCTGTCTCTCTGTTCCCCCCAGTTAAATGGAAGTGGTCAGCTCAAAATGTCCAGTCACTGCCTTTCTGCTCAGATGCTGGCACCCCTGCCCCCCGGGCTGCCGAGGCTGGCGCTTCCCCCTGCCACCAAACCCACCTCCGAGGGAGGAAGCACGTCACCGACCTCGCCCTGTAAGCACTCGGGAAGCGGTGCCTGAGGCAGGGCGGGCGTCCCCAAGGGGCCCCCCCCACTCCCCTCCCCGACTGCTGGGGCTGGGGGTTCAGGCCCAGCTTGGTGGGTACCGGCGAGTTCCCTGAGTCCCCACTGAGGGGCTGCAGGGTCAGGCCCCCAGGGGCCAGGGCAGCCTTAGGGGACATCAGGGCCAAGTCTGCTGTCTGCTCCCATTGGCCAAGTGGCCTGGGGCCCCCATTTGCCCACTCTGGGCCCTGAGCCCTCCTCCATGCAAGCAGCCGCTGACAGTAGATGAAGATCTCCAACTGGCGGCCTGAAGGCCAGACATGGCCCACAGCTGCCCTTTGTGGAAAATGAGAATCTCTTGTTGTGTTAAAATCCTGACATTTCACATAAAAATTCCAGAGTTCCTAAGTTTGGGGGGAAATGACCCCAACAGGCCCTATTCTTGCTAGTGACTTGGGCTGAGCCATACCTATCAATGGGATGGTCTCTGCCTGCCCGCCTGACCCCAGAAGGCCCCGGTGAGCTGCGAAGCCCCTGGGTTGGTCCCCTTACCTTCTAGAACTCCACACTCTCTGGATATGGCTCCAGATTACGGCCCACTGGCCCCATGCACTCCCCCCTTCTGGGGCTGCTCCAGGCTGGAAAGCCACTCCCAGAGTCCCTGTCCTGGGGTCTACCCACCAGCAGGGGCTGTGTGCCCAGACCCTCCCTGGGCTCCAGAGCAGGTGAGGGGGGCTGTCCACACTTCGCCAGAGGTCTCGCTGGGGCCTCCAACCCCTGCGTCCTCTCAGGCTGAGCAGCCCCAGTTGGGCAGGTAGAAGATCTCCAACTGGCAGCCTGAAGGCCAGACATGGCCCACAGCTGCCCTTTGTGGAAAATGAGAATCTCTTGTTGTGTTAAAATCCTGACATTTCACATAAAAATTCCAGAGTTCCTAAGTTTGGGGGGAAATGACCCCAACAGGCCCTATTCTTGCTAGTGACTTGGGCTGAGCCATACCTATCAATGGGATGGTCTCTGCCTGCCCGCCTGACCCCAGAAGGCCCCGGTGAGCTGCGGAGCCCCTGGGTTGGTCCCCTTACCTTCTAGAACTCCGCACTCTCTGGATATGGCTCCAGATTACGGCCCGCTGGCCCCATGCACTCCCCCCTTCTGGGGCTGCTCCAGGCTGGAAAGCCACTCCCAGAGTCCCTGTCCTGGGGTCTACCCACCAGCAGGGGCTGTGTGCCCAGACCCTCCCGCTCCAGAGCAGCAGGTGAGGGGGGCTGTCCACACTTCGCCAGAGGTCTCGCTGGGGCCTCCAACCCCTGCGTCCTCTCAGGCTGAGCAGCCCCAGTTGGGCAGGTAGTCTCAGACCCCCAGGCTTCTCCCTGAGGCCTCATTCTGCCCCTCACCCCCTTTTTGATGTCACTCGCTCCCCAAATGAGATTCCTCACCCCGCCCGAGCCATAGGGCCAGCGGTCCCATCTGGCCCCGTTGGCCTCCTTCCTGCATGAGCACTCCTGCCCCCAGCATCACTGCCTGCCAAGGCGCAGGCAGCTTCAGGTACAAACGGGTCTTGTCTGAACACCAGATGCAGTGCAGGGCGCTGGGTTTGAATCCTGCCTCTGCAACTCACTCTCTGTGTGACCTTGGGCAAATGTCCTCCCCTCTCTGAGCCTCAGTTTTCTCAGCTGCAAAATGGGACAGTCACCATAGTTGTGGGGCGGTGGGGAGCGAGTCAGTGAAATAGATCAGGGAGAGCATTTAGTGCCACGTCGAGCACAGAGTGGAGTCAGTATGCGGTGATGGTGATCACCGACTACCTACTACTGTCTCATCTGTGAAATGGGGAAAATAATCATGTTGGCTTCATTGAGGCCACTGTGGGTTAAATGGGATCATGCCCGGTGCCTGGCATACAGTAGACACTTAGTAGGTGCAGAGAAAACACGGATTCCCTCTTCTCCCCGTCACCCGGTTCCTAACTACAGCTTTAGTCTGCTTCCCCGCGTAGCCCTGGAGCCTCACGGCCTCCCACTTACTTCACCCGGCCAAGACCACACAGAACCCTCCCCACCCAGTCCCGGCCTGTCTGAGGCCCCGACCCACAGTAGCACCCAGCCATGAATTATTCACTCGCCCACAAAATGATGGGTGAAATTAAAATACAAATATATATATATATGTGTGTGGATGTACATACCCAGCCTTCCCCCTGCCTCTCCAGGAGGAAAATTAATAAATAAAATAGCCTCAATAATTGATGGCGCCCTGTGCGGGATGCAGGCTGCCGTCGCAGGATGGACCAGGCGGTGGAACACCCTGAATAATTCACGGGCGGTTTCTGAATTATCCATCTTTCATCCTGCGCCTTCACTCCCAGCAGACGCCCCTCCCGAGTGACCCCAGGGGCCGTGGCTGTGGGCTTTTCTGGGTGCTCAGATTGGCCAAGGGAGGGCACTGGGTGCTCTGTGACCCTGGGCAGCGGCCACCCTCTCTGGGTGCTCCCGTGCGGCCCCCTTTGCTAACGGGCTCTCGGTCTCTCTCCTCCCTGCAGCCTACTCTACGCCCGGCACGTCCCCTGCAAACCGTTCCTTTGTGGGATTAGGACCAAGGGATCCAGCGGGCATTTATCAGGCACAGGTAGGGGCCAAGAGGCCGGCTGGTGGCGGGAGGGTGGGCCAGGGCAGAGGGGCCAGCCTGGGTGTGCAGGAGAGGCCAGCCTGCTGGGTCCCCTGCCACCCCCCTCGCCGTACCAGGGCACGGTGGCCATTAAGTGTGGCAGGGGGACCAGGTTCCCATACCCTTCCAGGGCCTCAGGTCTGGCTATAGCCCCAGCCCCTGCCTGCAGCTTCCTGCCAGGAGACCCTCATGGGCTCTTGCCCCCCTGGGCCCATTTGTATAGGTGGGGAGACAGGCCCACAGAGGTGAGGGGATTTGCCCAGGATCACGTCACCCCAAGCTTTCCACCCCCTGGTCTTTATCCCTTCCTTGTCATCTGTCAGAGGGACCATGGGGGAGGTGGGCAGGAGGTGGCAGAGGACTCCTGGATGCCAGGGGCACGTGGGGAAACCGAGGCAGCCTGTGACAGGTGATGGGGCCTCCCAGTAGAGCATGCATGCACCCACCTCAGGTTACAGCCTGCGAGGCGGAGAGGGTGGCAGCAGAGGCAGAGTTGGTATGACTGCAGCTGAGTGTGTATCAGGGTTGGGAGGAAGGCGGGCTGAGCACGAGGCCAGGAGGCTCAGAGAGGAGGAGCAGGTTGCCTGAGGCTGCACAGCCGTGGAGGACAGAGCCCCGGCAGATCCACAACTGGGACTGGTTCCCAGCTTCTGGTGGAGTGGGAGGTGGCCTCAGCCCCCCACCCGTGTGTCCTGGCTTCAGCCCTCGGTCAGGGTTCGAGTCTGTGCTGTGTGCAGGCGGGGAGTGTGTTGACAGACGATGTCTGAGGGTGGTGGCTGGACCGAAGCCCCTGATTTCCGGTGCGTGTTGGGGAGGGGGTTGCAGAATGTAAAATAGCCCGAGGACAGCACCAGCTCCCGCAGGCCCTCTGAGGCCCAGATGCACAGAGAAACCCACCCAGGCTCCTCAACGGCTCCGAACCACCAGAACCACAGAGCGTGGAGATTTGCAGGGTCCCAGGGGCCATGTTCAGGCCCTCCAGCCCCTGTGGGAGGGTTCCTGGCAACGGGTCCTCAGACAGGGGTGGGGAGGAGGTGGGAGATGGCCACATCTCTCATTCTTCACTGAGATCAGAATCTGCCACCCTGACCAGACCCAAGGAGTCACCCGCCACAGTCTGGTGTCCGGGGACCCTCCAAGGCTGGCCTGGGTGCAGCTCCAGGGGCACCGAGTGTGTGGGAATGACCTGGCCTCCCTCTCCCTCCCGGCCCTGCTTCACTTACTTTGAACCTCTGTCTTCTAACCTTGGGTACCTCCTGGGGGCACTTTGAAGGTCCCAGAACGTTAGGGGACCAGTTTCATCCAGAAAGGGCACCGAAAGGCCAAGACCACCCGCATCCCTCACGTGCCCACGTGTTAATCACGCTGCTTTGCAGAGTCCCGGCCGGGAACCAGACAGGGCTCACTGGGTCAGGGGCACCCAGCCAGCTGGGGGAACCCCAGGACCGCCTGCTTTGTGTTTTAGGCCCCCATGACCTCGCCACCCTCTCCGAGTCCCAGCAGCTGGACGCCTCCCCCTCCGGTGCTCGGAGCCAGGCGGTTCCTCTCCCGCCCCCACCCGCAGCCCTCCCCACGGGAGGCTGGGAATGTCCTGATGGCTTCAGAAACCGAAGTTAATAAAAACAGCAGGGAAGGGGCCCTGCCTGCCTAACCCTTCCCAGCCACCCTCCACCTCACCTCTTCCCTTATCAACTCTGCATGGGGAGGCAGGGGCCACCCCACGTGAACAGCCAGAAAGGGGAGGGCACTGAAGCAGGCAGACAGGCAGCGCCTTTGCCGGCCCCTCGGGTCAGGGGGATGATGGGGACCCAGAGAGGGTGGGGTCAGGGCTGGTGACGCTCTGAGGAGGGAGCGAAGGCTGGCCAGGCAGGGAAGGATGCGGGTGCCCAGGCCGTGACTTGGCACTGACAAAGGCTAGAGGGGACGGAGAAATAGCTGGAATGTGGAAAACCCACGAACACGGGCTCTGGCTGGGGGTCTTGGGGAGCCATGGAAGGGTTTAGAGGGAGGGAGGGGCATAGCCAGGTCTGGGAATTGGAAAGAATTTTCTGGGACTGGTGTTGGGGGCAGTGAGACATGGAAGCGAGGTGACAGATTGATGAGAGACTCCCCAGGGAGCCTGGGTTATGGGGGAAGCCAGGCCCCCAGTCTGGGTGAACAGGGAAGGCAGGTCTGGGGGTGGGGGGTCCCGCCGACACGACACAGGCCAGACCCTGGGTCACTGGACAAAGGGCACCCCGATCCCTGGGGGGGTCAGCCCCCCTTCCTCCTCAGAAGGGAGGGGAGTGGGGAGGAAGCTGTGGATGAGAACCCGCTCCCCCTCTCAGCCCCTGCGCTTCGAGGCCTCTGGTTTCTGGCCCAGTCAGCACTTCTGCCTCCGCCTTCCTGATTCCTGGCAGGTTTGCTTTTCTCTGCCCCCCACCCCCAGGCTGCAGTGGCTTCTCTCCCTCCCCATGCGCCCCCTTCCATCTCCTACCTTCCAGCCCATCAGTACCCGTCTGCCTGATCAATATCCCCTCCTCCCATCTGTGCCCCTCCCCCTCAATATTTCCTTCCCCATCCGTGTCCCCTCCCCTTAATCAATATTCCCTCCCTCCATCTGTGCCCCTCCCCCTGATCAATATCCATCCCCTCCCCCACCAGCGCCCCCTCCTGAACAATGTCCATTGATCTCCGCCTCGTCAATTCTTCATGCCCTCCCTGTCGTTCGCCATCAATCCCCCCAGTCCTGAGTCAGCCATCACTTTGACCCCCAGAGGGGGTTCCAGGGACTCTGACACCTCACCCCCCTTTCTGTGTGATAGCCCCCCCGACCTTTCTGCTCAGGAGCCATCACACCCCTTCAGTAGATGAGTATCCTGAGGACCAGAGGGGGTTAAGCCACCACATGCCCTAAGCCATACTTGGTGGCTCAACCAGCCCAGGGGAATCCAGAGCCCAGACCTCACCCCTGGCACTGCACTGCCTCAGTCTTCCTCTCAGCGGAGGGAGAGGATGTTGAGTTGAGGGTGCCGCCCTGTTCCTGGGGCCAAAGCAGGGCAGCTGGCCTGGGAGGGGAGGAAGGAGGAGGCCGGGCCAAAGGGAGGCCGGCCACCACTGGAGAGGGCCACGCCCAGAGTCTGTCTGGTTGCCAAGGGAAACCAGACATGAGGTAATGGCCAAGATGAACTTGAACTTGGTTGGAGGTGGGGGTTGGGAGCCACAGCGCTAGTGGGATGGGATGGCCCAGCCGCTGCAGGGCACTCTGGTTGAAGGCCTGGTTGGAGGAGATACGATTGATTTATAGCAGGGGCGGGGGACAGCACTGCCCTGGCCTCAGGGAAGGGGTGGTGGTCCCCAGGCCCCCCCCACAGGGGCAGGTTGCATTTCCGGGGCAGGCATCCGGAGGCTGACACTGAGCTGTCCAGGGCAGGCCTGGCCTCCCTTCCGGAGCCACTATCTCCCACTGTGCAAAGTGGGAGTCCGAAGTCCCTGAGGCCCAGGCTCAGGGGTCAGTCCCGGGCAGAGGGAAAATCCAGGACTGGAGCATCTCAGGCCAGAGTGTAAACTCCGCTTTCTGCGTCCCCCGCTGGTGACCTTGGGCAAATTATTTGACTTCTGTGATCCCGTTTTCTCCACTGGGTAATGGGGTGGTTCCTCCTTCATATGGGTTTGGGGGGGATCATTAAGTGGGAGAATGTTTGTTTAAAAAAAGAAGCAACCCTGGTCACAATACCTGGATAGAGTGGCACTGCAGAAAATTGACTTGGAGGCAAAGTGAAACCACACACACACACACACCCCTTCTGTACTCAGGGCAGTGAGGTTCGGAGCCCCGTTGCCCAGTTACAAAGCACAACTACAGGACGCTCAGTAGATGTGAATTCCAGATAAATGAAGGACTAAAACTTTTTTCTTTTTGGTACATGAGTATATTCCAAAAGCTCATGGTGTGTGCTTGTACTGGCAGATTTATAGGGAATTCGGATTTCACGGGAGCGCTGTGTTTTATCCAGCAGCCCTGCTCGGGGTGAAGTCGCTTGCCCAGGGTCACCCCGCACGTGGTGACAGACCTGGGTCGGGGGAGACAGAGGTCACAGGGCGGGGGTGGGGCAGAGGGCGGTGTGGGCAGTGGCAGAGCCTGACCTCGCTTTCTCTCTCTCTCTCCCGCTGTGTCCCCCTGGGGCCGGCTAGTCCTGGTATCTGGGATAAGAACGATTTCTTCCCACGCCCTGCTCCTTCATCCGGGTGGGCTGCACAGCCGGCCCCCAGCCCACGTTTTCGGTGGAAAGTTAGAGCAAAGCAAGAACACCCTGCCGACTCCCAGCCCAGCCGAAAAGACAAAACACATAGACACATACACACAGGAGGAAAAAAAGAAAAAGCCAAAAAAAAAAAGACAAATGGGAAAAAAATCATAAAAATAAACCCACCCAAGCAAGAAGACAAAAGGTCAAGACGGCAACGCTTCGGCCCCTTGGGACGCCACAGCTGGACCTGCCACCCTCGGCTGGACCTGCCACCCCTCGGCAGAGGGCAGAGGACGTGACGGTGCCCGGGGGTCTCTCTAAGTTACTCATCTCTCACTGCTGCTCTGGAAGGGCAGGTGCCCGCCTCCACCTCCACCAGGACCAGGTGAGCGCAGCCTGATGCCCGTGCCCAGGCCCCACGGGGCAGGACGCCCAGCAGGGCCACCTCTCCCCCGCGTCCCCTTCGTCTCCGCCGCCAGGATGTTGGCCAGGCTTCCCACGCTGGTGGTGACGTTTCCGAGCAGGAAGGCAGGCGCCACGGAGGCCGGGGTGGGCAGGGGAGCGACAAGGGCAGACGAAGGTTGTGGGAGACCCTGGGCATCACCAGGGGTCAAGGACATGTGGCAGGTTTGTTCTCAGGAGCGTCCTGGGGCCGTCACGGGGTCTCTACCTGCCCCAAAGCGTGCACGTGCTGGGCTGGCTCGGGACTTTCAGCCCCACGCCTGTCTGTTTGGGAAGAGAAGTCTCTATGCAATTGCCCCCCACTCCCA